GGGGTGAGGGCCCGGCCGTGTCTGGAAGCGGCCCGGCCTGCAGCCCCTGCCGGGAAGCACCCCCGGGCCTGTGCCCACCCGTAAGAGCAGCCCCCTCGTTCCTATCGTCCCGTCCCCCGCACCCCCTCCCCACCGGTGGTTGGGGAGGGAGAGCTCTGCTGGACCAGGGAGCTCCAGTCTGCAAGCTCCAGCCCTCCACTTCCGCACTCAGCCGGCGCGGCTCGTGATGGTCACGGTCACGTGCCTCCCCACCCTCTGGGCTCCTGGTTCTAGCACTGGAGTGGACCCGGATCTTTTGCAACCGATCGCTTCTTTTGCAGCGCTCCACTGTCACTGAGCGACTCACAGCAGTGACTTTGGGGCCCTCACTGAGGCGGCCTGGTGGTGGTGTAGTCGACTTGCTCACCACAGGGACAGTGGTTTGAACCCACCCGGTGCCCTACAAAAAAACCCGAGGCTCTCTGCTGTCAAGATTGACAGTTCTCCGCCCCGTGGGGTTACAGTGAGTCAGCATCAACTGGATGGCAGTGAGTTTCAGGCTGCACAGTGCCGGGATCTTCCTGATCTCAACCACATGACCTGTGCTTATTCCTAATGACCTTCGGCCACAGTTTCACCAGCTGGTCTGGTGGGTTGCTAACTGTAAGGCCTCCGTTTGAACCCATGAGCTGCCCTGCGTGGGGTAAGAAGAAACTTCCTGCACCCTTAAAGACCGCAGCCCCAGAAAACCCTAGGGAGCTGTTGACTCCTGTGAGGTTGATTTGGCGACAGAAAGAAAGAAGGCAGGGGTAGAACACAGTGACGGGAGCATTCTGAGCTCCCAGGTGAGGTTCACTGCCGAGAAGTCACACTGTCCAGGCCAGAGGTGGACAGTCTGCGGGGAGGGAGTAACGGGAATTTTCCACTGCAACTTCGTTGTCTGCAGGTCGGAGCTAAGCAACAGGGTTCAAAGTCTCTGTAAAGGTCAGTCTTCTGCACCTGGACCAGAGGCCACCGGAGGAGGGGGAGGAGGAGGAGAGGGAGGGGAGAAAGGGGTCTGGCCCCTGGTAGCGTCCTTGAAGTGTGTTCATCAGCTTTATCTCCTAGACCACCTGCCCTGCTAACTCCTGCTTCTGCCTGACAACTCCCACCTTAGCCTGGGTGTCTACTCGCGGGCTGCTAGGGCAAGGTGGCAGTTCCAAACCACCAGAGGAGGCTTTCCACTTCCCTCAAGAGTTACGCTCTCAGAAGCTTGCGGGCCAGTTCTCACCTGTCCCATAGGGTGGCTATGAGGAATCTGCATCGCATCCACTAGCTGGCACTGAGTTTTTGAGGTAGGAGGTGGAATGGACTTGAGAGCTTCTATACCCTGGGAAGGGCGGTGGCTTTTTATCTGTTTTGCTTTATATCAGATTCTCTAAGGCCACAGCACCCAATAGAAATATAATGCGATCCACACATGATTTGATTTTTTTTAAAAGGTCAAATTAATTTTGTAATCTAACCCAGTATCCAAAGAGGATCATGTTAGCATGTAGTCAGCATAGGAATTATAGGATAGTTCTGCATGCTTCCTAGTAATGTCCTTGAAATCTGGTGTGTATTTTACACTTGGTCAGAAGCCAGTGTCGTCGAGGCGATTCCAGCTCACGGTGGCCCTGCATGACATTCCCCGGGCACGGCATCTTTATGGAGCACACAGCCTCGTCTTTATTCCACAGAGTGAATGGTGGATTTGACCCGCCAATGTGGCTTTAGCTGTCGAAAGCTTACCAAACAGCACCCAAGACCAGGCACATTTCAAGTGCTCGCTTGTCAAATGTAGCTAGCCCGGGGCTACCAGATGAAGCAGGGCCGTCGTACGGACTTCAATCCCGGGCTACAGACTCCAATCCAAACTCTGCCCTGGTTTTTATTCAGCATTTTTACAATCTGACTTCTCTCTCTCTTCTTCCTGGTTATCATCTCGTGACTCAAGACCACTGGCCATTCCCCTAACACCTTTGTTCAGACTGCTCCTTCTGCCAGAACATGTCCTGTCCATCCCAGCCAACCCCGAGCCAGCTGGGAATTACAGCTTCTGTTAAAGAACAATTCTTGACTCCCCTAAACCCCGAAGTCATGTATCACCCCGTTTCCGCTTCCTAGAACGCGTTCACGGCCAAATCAGGGCACTTATCACAGGCTGCTTAATTGTTTTTGAGACCGCCTCCCCGGCTGGGGGAGTCCTAGTTATCTTTGTGATGGTCACGGCTGGCACCTAAGAGATGATCAGTGAGTGTTTCCAGACGGAGGGAGTAAATGGCCACCCAGCTGTACTCGGTCTCTTTAATGCCTGAAGGAACATGGCACTCCCTCGTTTAGTTAGATTCATGTCTGCTGCACTACTCGCTCCAGCCTCCAAGCAAACACACATATCCCAGATGTGGATGCTAACGAGGAAGGATGGAACCCAAGGTGTGCACAGACGTACCTTCCACCTTGTCTCCTCGCCCAGGTTGATGGATGGGAAAACCCAAGGCCCCAGCCAGATATAAACAGCTGTTTTTCATCAGTGTAAATACGAAGGCTTACTTCCGAGGATGGCCTTCCCGGAAGTCAAGGAGGAACTGGCGGCTGGGTCAAAGTGGAGTGCTAGTCTGGGAAGGAATGAGAGGATAGAGGAGAAGGGCCGGGGAAGCCCGCAGAGCAAGGGAGGAGCCGTCCCAATCGCCACTTCTTCCAGAGCAGGGCCAGTTCTAGCTGCAGTATGGGAGAAGGGGAAGAATCAGCGATTCCGAGTAGGCAGGCAACTTACCCAAGGTCACACAGCACTTGAAGCCCAAATGAGGCCTTCTAGGCCCTCAGTGCCCATACTTGCCCAGCTCTGCCCTCAGTTCTGTTGCAACCAGGGGCTCCAGTATGGGCCCTAGGCGAGCGGGTCTGGGGCACAGCGCCAAGCCTGATGAATGTCTTCCTCACCACCTTCCAGCAAGGGGCTGTGATTAGACCTATTTATAGGGGCCCTGCGCCTTAATATTCTGCCCGGCGTGTCTCTTGCCAATCAAATCAGTGCCGTCTGCAGTGTGATTGCTTCTTTCGTGGCACCAGGGAGCGGAGTTAATTAAACCCAGTATAAATAGATTCTGCCCTCGCCTTGCAGCCCTGCAATTCGCAGCCATGTTTTTTCCTGCCTGCTCCCTGCCCCCACCTCCTGAGCCCCCTCGACCCCGGGCCAGCGGAGCCGGGACACACATCTACCCAGTCACTAGCCACTACGGTAGCACATCTCAGGAACAGGCTCCAAAGCTCCTCCGGGAGCTTTTCCAAGCAGGGACATCATTTGACAGTTGACTCTGGTAATTTCACCCCCACCCCTAAATCCAGCCCTCTGTTCTAGCCTCCTCCAACCACTTCCATCAGGGGTCCTTCTTGTCCACCAGGCTGGGAGATTGGAAGGTCATCTGCGGACAGGGTGACTAAAAAGTACCAAGCATCTCCCAAGGGGTCAACAAATTGTTTTTCCACACCCAGTCCTTGGCTCCGCCCTCCCTCTCCCTCCTTCATTCAACAGGTATTCACTTCTTTTGTGAGCTCCTGGCTCCCATCCAGTGCTCTTCCCCTTGCCCCACCTGCATGGAGTCGAGGTGAGAGGCAGGGAGGGCTGTGTGCCCATCTCCCAGCCCCTGCTCAGGACTCTTGAGCTGGGACGGGCCTGATGCCCTGGTTCCCTCCCACAGGCACCATGACCACGGTGAGGAGCCAGCACTCCTTGGTGGGCCAGACCTACGCGGTACCCCTCATCCAGGCAGACCTGCGGCGAGAAGAGGCCATACAGCAGGTGGCAGATGCCCTGCAGTACCTACAGAAGGTCTCCGCGGACATCTTTAGCAGGTGGGTGCTGCCACCCACTCCACCTGATCAGAGGGTTGCCTCTGCCCCAGGCTGTCATTTGGTGACTCTTGGTTCTAGGGTAAGGTGACCAGATTTTAACATTGGTAAAGCGGGACACCATTGATAAAACTCATATCCTGGCGAAATAGCCACGTGGCAGCCGAAAACCTATACCCTAGCTTGTCGTGCATTCTTTCCAAAAATCGGGACTTTTTAAAAACGCTGCAGGACACGGGAAAAATTGTTAAAAATCCGGACTGTCCTGCCAAAAGCGGGACGTCTGGTCACCTTATTCCCTGTGATTTCCTTGTGCCCCAGGACCCCAAGGTAGGAGCCAGGCTATGAAGGCTTTTCTCCCAAGTGGGCAAGAGCCCACTACTTCCTGCCCTCCCTTTACCCCCCTGACATTCATGGTCCTGGCACTGCGCTCTTATATCCTGTTCTTCCACCTTCCGTTGGCTGCAGCATCCTGAGCCTGGGCTTGGGTCTCTCCTTCCCGGGGGGACCCATGGTACCTGACCCAGGGACGTTTGATCCCACCCAGTGTAAAGGCCTTGCCTGCCTAACTCTGGCCCCTCCAACTGGCCAGGGGTCTCCCAGTCCTGAATCGCTGCTCCTGTACCACATCATTTGCTCAGCCTTCCCCAAGTGGAAGTCTGCCTCTTCCCAGAAACGTCCCCAAACCAGCGAGGATCATGGCCGCCGCTGCCACCTGGACTTGGTGTCGCCCCAGACCCTATGGCCCTGCCTCTCACCCCACCCTTGAAGCACCTGCCCCGCCCATTCAGAGTGTGGCTGTGACCAGGGGCAGTGCCCTGCAGCCTCCAGAGCACTGGACCCGGCTCCCTGTTTGCCTGCTCCTGGCCTCTCTCTACCTCAGTGTTCCCCTCTGGCCCTCCCCCCCCACACACACACCGAGGTAAGGAGAGTGCTCTCCCTGCTCCCGGGAGGGAGGCCGTAGTGACTGGCAGACGAATGTTCCTACAACCATACCAGGCACAGCGGAAGCCTGTGCTGTGGCTGCTTTCTTTGTGTGGTCTCTGCACACTGCCGCACTGCCGTGGGTGGTGAACACTCACCAACCTGCTCTCCTGGGGTACAGTGGAGGGGTGCCCTCTGCGCTCATTCTCATGCTGACTGTGCCTCGGGGACACAGGAGCCAGAGGATACAGGCCTTTCAGAGCCACCAGTCCCCAATCTCGGCCACCTTCCATCCAGGTATAGAACGGGTCCCAAAGCGTCCACACAGGCGTCTCTGCTCCTCACTGGCTTTGTGACCGCATTCCCCAAGGGGAGGGTCAGACTTGGGGCCGACTCTCCCACTCTGGTGTTCTGTCTGGTTCTCCCACCTGTGGGTGGCCTCCAGCAGGACTCAGAAGGCAGGCTCCTGGGGAGGTGAGTGGGGGGCAGGGCCCTCCAGGTGTCTGCGTGTGACTTGTGGTGAGTAGGAAGCCTCGAAGGAGCCCTGCATCGGGGTGCAGCTCCCTGCACTATTAGTTTCAGGGCACCCCAGTGATCCCCCTTCTGTGTCCGGCATGAAGCCCCTGGGTCCTGGGCAGGACAGGGCACCACAGATGTCCTCAGGGAGCTCTGGGCCTGTACGGGGGAGAGGGAGAGCTGGGCTGCTGCTTCCCGCTGTCACAGTGACCCAGCGCCGCTGTCACACACGGAGCAGACAGCTTCGACCAACAAGGGGATTCTCTCACCCTTTGGGAAACCAGGAGTCCTAACGCCGAGTGCAGGCTCAAGAGGAAGGGGTACTTGCTCTATTGGTTCAGTTTAGGAGGGAGGTCCTGGCCTCCCTTCAGCATCTGCGACCCTGAATTCCATGGAGAACGCCCACCTTGTGTCTTGGCTTCAGCCTTCTCCTGCATTCCAGATGTCCCCCGAGTCCAAAGGCGGTGTTCTCCACCCAGCTCTTTTTCCTCCGTGGGACTCGAGGCTCCCCTGACGCCAGTCTCCTCCCTATCGCAAAGGAGGTGGAGTCAAGACACAGCCTAGTCCTAGTGTGTGTAATCCCGCCTCGTTCCTCTCCTGGAGGTTGAGGTCCTCCAGCACCAGCTAATGACGTGGGACCACAACGTGGAGGGTAATTAGAGGACCTGAGCATCACAGCCTGGGCGTGTGGACAGTGCCGCCCATGATGTGGCACAGCACGAGCAGTGTGGGTGTGGCTTCCGAGAACCTAAGCAAAGGGAGGAAAAAGTAAGAATCCGGGCATTTGTCAGTCAGCCCTCCGCAACCGGTTTGCACAAAAAGTGACCTATCTGTCAGTGCTGAAGGGCTTACACGACATCCTCAGACCCTGACTTCAGGCCCAGCCGTCTCAGCTGGCTGTTCCCGAGTTGGCTCCACTCCCAGACAGGCCTGGCTCTGGTGGTGGCCAGGTGGCATTCAGGAGGGCCAGCACTCATGACTCAGGCTCAGGTCCAGCAGGTAGGGTGCCTGCCTCTGGGACAGCATTTCCTTCAGATGTCACCCTCCCTCACTGGCCCAGCCTAGCTCTCGGGCCCACCTTCCAGGTAGGGGCACAGGACCCCTGAAGCAGCTTAGACCCCTGGCGAGCGAGCAAGGGCATCACTCTTACACCCCCAGGTGGAGCCGCTCTGGAAGCACAGGGAGGGCCTGGGTAGGGAGAAAGGAGCCCCCTTCGGAACCAAGGGCTGCCACTGAGTGAGGGGAGGTGGAGATGCTAGAGAGGAAAACTCTGTCTAGCCCAGTGGTCAAGGGCTGCAGGGAGGGACAGTTATGGGTAGGCAGATGGTGGACTGGTCATCTGGTAGGGTCTGGGAATGGCCAGGGGCACGGGGCGAAGCCTGGCTGTGGCCTGGAGTGCCTGTGCCAGGGGCTTCTAGGAGTCTGAGGATTTAGGGCTTGCACGAGGAACACAGACATTTTGCCTGTGCCGTGCTGTGCGGTGCATTCAGTTCCTTGACTGGTGGTGGTTGGCAGGGCGAGGGGCTGAGGGGGCTCTGCCCTGAGCTGCTCCTTGACCCCCACAGTTCTGTGGGCTGGGGTGAAGAGGCAGAAGGCAGCTGAGTGCGGGCATGTAGCGGTAAGTTAGGGCTCTCATCAGAGCTTTGGGGAGCCACCGTATGTCCTTAAGCAGGGGCACAACGGGACAGAAGAGCTTTGGGAAAGTTGGCCAGGCAGTGGTCACAGGGTGGATTCCAGGGACCCTGTAGTCCGGCATTCAGGGATGCAGACATGGTCCAGGGCAGGGCAGGCCTGGTAAGAGGCATTTCAAAGGAAATAATGACAGGACCTAATGACAGATTGGGAACTCAGAATGCAGGAGAAGCCAGTGGGGGTGGGGAGTGCTTCCACCTTCTCTTATCTGACACCCCTTCCCCCCAACCTTGAACACCTTCTGCTGATAAACTTCTGAGACTCAGGGGGGCAGTGGAGAGGTGCTGCCTCCTCCCCCCCCCCCCCCCCTTCAGGCCCAGGCATGGGCCCCCGACCTCCCTGGAGCCGGTGCCCAGTTTTGGAGGTAGGTGAGCTCATGGAAAATTAGCATTCTAAGCTAGCTGCCATCCTCTGCGGCTGCTGCAGCAGGGAGCCTGCTGCCCAGCAGAGACGGGAGAGAATGACAAGCTTTCACCGGAGCTCCCAACCCCCTCCCTGGCTCACTGCTGCCTGCTGATTGCCCTCTGCCCCCTCCCTCACCTAGGAGCAGCCAGGCCCCAGAATGTCTCCCAGGACTGAGCCCCTGAGGCAGGAGGAGTGCCGTGGGACTGGAGACGGGCAGGTGGTGTATGTGGAAGTAGAGGTGCCTCATTATCATCTGCGGGGCTCTTGGCTCCCTCCGGAGAAAGGCTTCCTTTCTCTGCAAAGCCCTTTCCCAGCCCCCCCTTCTCCACTTCCTCCCTTTTCACCTCCCTCCCCCCTTTCCCCACTTCTTTTCTTCTCTCACCCTTCCTCCACCCCCATCCCACAACTGATTGGCACCTGATGGCCCCCAAGGTTACGGAGGCTCAATCAGCTGCTTGCATAATTAGCAGATCATTCCTAATTCTCCCAGAGGGGGAAGGAAAGGTGAAGGCAAGAGCCTGGCTTCAGGGTCTGAGACAACTTCCGGAAGGAGGCGCCGGAGCAGCTGCAGCACTGCGGAGCGCAGCCTCACCCTGGCTGGCACCCTGGCAGTGAGGGGCCAGCAGCCGTCCTGGAAGGGCCATTGGCCCAGCCTGACTCAGAGAAAAGATCCTCTTAGGGAATGGGGGCATCTTTAAAGGTGGTATGACAAGACCCCCAGCAGGTGCTGGCTATTCTCATCCCCTCTCACTCCAGCCTAGGCACCAGCCCAGGCCCCACTTGCTGCTCCCTCCCCAATGCTCCCTGGCACAGGCCTGCCTGCACCTTCAGGTCTCCTCTGCCCTCCTTCCCTCCCTCCCAACCCACCGGGAAGACCTGACTTTCCTCTGGACGCCAGTAGCCCTCTAGCCTTCAGGGTGGACACAATGCAACAGAGGGTGCTGGGGTACTGAGCTCCCGCACGTGAGCCCCAGGCTGTTCTCAGCCCCTTTGACCTTCACAGCGTAACCGTAACCGCTGACACAGAAGGTAGTCTTTCCAAGTTTCAACTGAATGACTAGACTTTACTGGACTTTAAGGCTCCTCTGAGAGACTGTGTGGCTGCCTGTGTGCCAGTGTGTTCCTCACCTCCCTGAGAGCCGGCTCTCCTTGGGCGGGAGATCATCTGATTGTTTCCACCCTCAGCCTGCTGTACAGTTTTGGAAACTGAAGGCGCTCAGCCTGTTGCCCCATGAGGGGCTGGGTGACAGGGAGACCAGAGTTATGCTGGGAACAGCCTTAATGGACTCACTGCCGACTCACAGCCACCCCCCAGGGCAGAGATGGTAACTGTTTAGGGGTGTAGAAAACCCCATCTTCTTCCCTTGGAGGGGCTGGTGGTTTCGAACTGCAGACCTTGTGGATGGCCTCTAGAAAAAGACCGCACTGCAGTTGCGGGTTCAGTGGCAGGTTTGAGGAAATAGGCTGCCTGGCCTTTCCTCTGGGTCAGCAGTTCTCAACCTGTGGGTTGAAACCCCTTTGGGGGTCAAACGACCCTTTCACAGGGGTTGCCCGATTCATAACAGTAGCAAAATGACAGTAGTGATGAAGTAGCAACGAAAATGGTTGGGGGGTCACCACCATATGAGGAACTGTATGAAAGGGTTGCAGCATGAGGAAAGTTGAGGACCACTGCTCTGTGTGGACTCTGTGAGCTGAGCATGTTACCCATTGTCCCTCTCCTGCCATGCCCCGGGCCCGGGCCCCTGGGGAGCCACAGAGGCACTGACAGAGGCAGCCCTGCGCTCTCCTGATTGTGTCCAGGCGATGTGCTGTGGGGAGAGGGCTTCAGCCATAGCCGGTGCTCACCTATGAGTCAGCTCCACCAGGCTGTGGTGCCTAGACCAGGTGTGGCAAGCACACTACCCTCTAGCCTGCACAGCCCACCTTCCACAGGGGGGGACCTGAGAGCTGAAAGCTCATTGTCCGCCTTGCTCGGTCCCGTTGAAGCATCAAGGTGGAGCCATGGAGGTCAGTCTGGGCAAGGGGCTCTGACAGCAAGCATACCATTACTTAAATTTGCAGGCTCTGGGGTATAAGAAAAGCGCTCTGGAACTGTACTTCCTGTCAACCCCCCTACCCCTCCTGGCCCAGGTGGACTCTGTGGAGCTGCCCCTCCATGGGCAGTCCTCCAACATACTTTACAAAGCGCCCCCTCCCCCCACTGTGTGTATGAGAGAGAAAGTTCTCCTGGTGTGGAGCAGCTGGGATCCGCTCCCAGGCACCCCACCCACTGGTCCTAACTGTGGCAGTTCTCCGGGGGCCCCAGGGAGTGAGGCTAATCGCTTTTCCACCTGACAGCACTCTGCTCTTCCTACTATCTGAGGTGCATGATCATATTCCGTGTCATCTCGTCTGTCGCAGAGCATCCTTCACTTGTCTTCGTATGACAAGAGTTTCCCACTCATCACTCTGCTGCGGATGTTTGCTAATTTGTCACTTTTATTCAGACCCTGGTTGTTAAGACCCGATTACATGCCAGAACTGTTCTAGGAGCTAAGGATGCTGTGGCCATTAAGGTAAACTTCCTTGTCTAGAAGAGAATGCAGAGGAGGCCCCTTGAAACAGGCAGTTGTGGGGGTGTGGCAGGGCATGGTCCAAGCTGAGGCAGTATTGGCTCTCTGGGCAGATGTTCCCTGCAGTGTTATTGGAAGAAGAGAGTAAGGAGACAAGGAGCTGGGCCCCTTAAGGCATCATGCCCTTTTTAATGTGCTATTAGCTAACAGTGAGCTTCTAGTGAACTAAACCTGCCGGGTCTTTTCACACCTGGACCTAATGGCTGCTAAAGCACATGACCCCCACCTTCTGCATCTGTGCACCAGACTTGATGAACCTCACTCCTTGCAGATTGCATCCTTTTCACGGAGCCCAGCTCTGGTTCCTGGAGTTGGCCACAGGCTGCTTGCTAGCCCTCTCACATAGGTGTCTGCTGGCACCATGAGTTAGGCATCAGGCCCGCTAACTGCAAGGCTGGCAGATCAAATCCACCAGCCGTTCCTTGGGAGCAAGATGAGACTGTCTGCTCCCGTAAAAGTTTACAGTCAAGGGCACCCTGTCTCTGTTGGGTCCCTATGAATCAGACTTGGTGACTGTGGGTTGGCTGGAGAAAAAGGCAGCAGCCTGCTTCTAAGAAGACCTGCAGCGTGGAAACCCCTGGGGATGGTTTGGCTCTGCCCAATGGGGTGGCTGTGATGGGAAAGGGCCGGCTGATTTGGCTTGGCTCACTGGTGAAGTGTCCAATGGGCTGAGCCGAGATTTCCTGCCACTGGAAAGCTTTTGTTTTTCAGCACGTCCATTCTGGTGGCTCTGATTTTTTTCTCTATGCTCCTTCGTGTCCACGGGACTTTGAGAAAGCTTGCTCCTTCCCAATGCCCTGCACGTGCGGCCGTTTAGCAGCCCCGAGGGGAATCCCAGTGCTCTTGGACGCTCTCCTGTATCCGGCGCAGACAGGCTCAGGCCCGGGAGCCTCGCTCAGCGGCCGCCATGCGCAGCGTTGAGAAAAGAGACTTTTTCTGCCTGACGGAAGAACTACAGCAACCTTTGTCCACTTCCGGTTCTGCAGTCCCGCCCACTGTCCACTGTGTTATGGTTATGGGGTACTTGGGGATGTCTTGGCATCTAGGGCCAGAATGGGGGGAAACTGATGTGGGTTCGAGGCTTGTGTTCAGCCCCTTTCCGGAGGATAGAGACCTCCTTACCTGAGCTTGCGGGGTGGCGCGGTTAGCTTTCTCGGCTGGGAAACACCTCTGTTCTTGGCCTCTCACGAGAAAGTATTCACACTGAAGCCTGGTTTGTGATCCAAGTGGGTTTTTATAAAGAACAGGAGACGTCTATAACACCGGCACTTCACAGAACTGCACACCTGCACGTGGTAGTCTAAGGCCGGGGAGACCGAGGCTTGAGTGGAAGGGCCAGGTAGAAGAGGGAAAGGTCGGTCTAGTGCTCCAGGTATTTGGGGCCTCCCAAGTGCACAGTACACCTTACTGCGGCTTGAACTGGCGCATGCCCAGTAGTCTTTATGGCTGACTACGGGCTCACCTCTCTTCCAACCTTCAGTAGGGGGCCCTCAGGCATGGAAAGGGACAATCCCTGCCTGTTTCTTGCTACCTAACAGTGCCACTTGCTGCCGGGGGCAGTACACTGCCCCCACCCTCAGGCCAGGCTGTCAGGGAAACTAAGCCACTTTTGTGCTGCTAGTCCCGCCCACCGCACCCCAGCAGTGGAGCCAGGGGTCACTGGGGCAGCCTATCAGGGCGGGAGAGCCCTGGGGGTTGCGAGTGGGCTGAAACCCGGAGGTGGTGGGAATACGTACAGAAGTGAGGCCAGTCTTCACTGCGCCTTCCTTCTTCGTTCACTCGCTGTAGCCCGAATCCTGCCCCTCCTCCCGGCCCCCACCAACTAAGCTGCCTTCCCCAGGCTCCTCCACGAGTGGAAGGAGACCGCGGCACAGGGGTCAGGCAGCTTTGCAGGCGGCAAAACCCAGCTGTTGCTGAGCAGCGTGGGAAATTAACTCACCGTATGGTGTCGTAACACCCCTCTGAGAGCACAGAGCGCACCCCTGCTGGTAGTGCCCACGCCCGCACCCCTGGGAATGAGCAGAGCTTCGCCTCCTGGGCAGCTAGCTACAGAGGTTGGCCAGATGGGCAAGGGGACGTGGTGAAGAGCCTTTACCGGTGAGGGCAGAGGAAACACTACGAACGGAAGGAAAAGCCCAGCAGGTTATGGGATGGGAAACAAGGTGCCCTTTGAGTCTGTGGTCCGGGAGACTGTTGAGACTTGGTGAAGAACAGAGCAGCCCTGGGATACTGGGGGGCAGGGGACCCCACTTGCACGCTGAGAACGGCATGTTCAGCCAGTGTCTGCCACCTGCGTATCACAAAGAGCAGTCCACGGGGCTCAGCGCCCGATGGACGCAGGAGCACCAGGAGGCGGCTGTGGGCAGGTTCGCTCTCTCGAGGTCTAGAGCTTGAATTAGGTGGTATGTTTTGTCGAGCCTTGATGGGTGACCTAGGCCAGTCCCTCTCTGAACTGTTTTCTCATCTCCAAACAGGCATTTTTCCTGCTTCACATGCAGCCGGCTTTTGCCAGCAGCAGACAGCTTGTGTGTGGTTGAATTCTGCCCCACAGTTGGCGCCCAAGGGAAGAACCACACCTCAAGTAGTATGTCCAGGCACCAATTCAGGGTCAGGGTGGCAGCCCTCCAGAGCTCACTACAGTTCATTTCCGGCCCCTTCCACTCTGATCGGAACTGCTCTGACACGCAGGTGCCTGCTGGTGCTGACCAGCCTCCAAAGCAGGGGTGGGCTGTGTAGGGGCTTGCAGGAAAGTGGCAGCATCTGGGGGCTTCTCGTGCAGGATCTCCCAGCGCGTGGAACTGAGTCGAAGCCAGCTACAGGCCATTGACGAGCGGGTCTCATTGGCCCAGGCCAAGATTGAGAAGATCAAGGGCAGCAAGAAGGCCATCAAGGTAGCCTGGGTGGCCATGTGTCCCCGGGGCAGTGGGCAGGCTAGCGGTCCCACTCCCTGACCCCTCCCCATGCCTCAGAGGTAGCCCGTGCCTGCCCTGCTGCCAGCCTACCTCCCACCCCAGCTGGGCCGCTAGGGCTTCACTCGCCCCTGTGCGCAGGTGTTCTCCAGCGCCAAGTACCCTGCCCCGGAGCACTTGCGGGAGTACGGCTCCATCTTCACCGGGGCCCAGGACCCTGGCCCCACAAGACGCCCACGGCACCGGATCCAGAGCAAGCACCGGCCCCTGGACGAGCGGGCCCTGCAGGTGTGACGCGCCCCTGCCAAGCACAGGCACGACACACTGCCTGCTTGCACAGGGATCCCCCACCCTGTCCCCAAGATCACCATGGGGATCACTGCCCCTGCCTCCCCAGGAGAAGCTGAAGTACTTCCCCGTGTGTGTGAACACCAAGCAGGAGCCAGAGGATGAAGCCGAGGAGGGGCTGGGGGGGCTCCCCAGCAACATCACCTCCGTCAGCTCCTTGCTGCTCTTCAACACCACAGAGAACCTGTATGGCCTGGGGATGGGCAGCAGGGCGGGTGCCCCTGGGAAGTTTGGGAAGTGTAGACGTCCAGGGGCTGGGAAGTGGTGTGTCGGTGGCCCCTGGTGGAGAGACGGGTCAGCAGCATGGGCCTAAGGCGGAGCATGGTGGGTTACCCGTCTCTACCCCACCCCTGTAGGTACAAAAAGTACGTCTTCCTGGATCCCCTAGCCGGCGCTGTCACCAAGACACACGTGATGCTGGGGGCAGAGACGGAGGAGAAGCTGTTCGATGCCCCGCTGTCCATCAGCAGGAGGGAGCAGCTGGAGCAGCAGGTAGGCGCTGTGCACTGCAGGGAAGAGGTGTCGCTGGCTGAGTAGCCTTACCAGTTTTGTCCAGCAGAGGGGCCTGTCCCCTTGTAGCCCCCCATCATTCTGGTACCCTATCCCCAGACTCCAGAGAACTACTTCTACGTGCCTGACCTGGGACAAGTGCCCGAGATTGACGTGCCATCCTACCTGCCCGACCTGCCTGGCATCGCTGATGACCTCATGTACAGTGCCGACCTGGGCCCCGGCATCGCCCCCTCAGCCCCTGGCACCATCCCAGAGCTGCCCACCTTCCACACAGAGGTGGCCCAGCCTTTCAAGTCCGGTGAGCCGGCAGCTGCATGGGGCTGGGCTGGGAGCACCCCCACCGCCACCTTCTTCCCTGCGTCTCACCCTTCCTCACACATCTATTTCAGACAGAGAAGATGGGGTGCTAACAGCACCCCCACCCCCTCCTCCACCACCACCCCCTCCCCCCGCTCCTGCAGTGCTGATCAGCGCACCCCCGCCCCCACCCCCGCCCCAGACGGTGGCCCCACTGGACCAAGGCGCCAGAGACAGCAATGGTGGCAGTGGTACATCTCCCCCAGGTAATGGCCAGCCCAGGGCAGGTGGGGTGGCGGTCCTGGGGGGTGGGGGGTGGGGAAGCTGGGCTGTGTGCATCTAATTTCAGGACCCCTGAAGGGTTTCCTTTGCTTTGTGTGGTAGTCATCAGCCCATGGTTCTTCAGAATAGTCTTAATTTCAAATATCTCAGTCCAATGGGTTCATAAAACATACTTCCAGGGAGGTCCCTGCAAGGATATGGGAGTGGAGGGGTGAGCTAGATAGGTGGGGCGGGCTCCAGTTCCCCCACGTCCACTTAAACCAGTGGAATAAAAGGGGCCCACTACCCACAAGGTGTTCCTGTTAACCAGTAGCCCCCAAGGGTTCCCTGTGTGGCCACCCCCACCTGTGGCCAGGGTGGGGACCCGGGGCCTGGACCGGGGAAGTCCCTGAGCTCAGGTGGGTGCAGATGCCAGGCCCAGGCCCTGCAGGGAGCTGGGCTGCTGTCCTCCCAAGAGGGAAGGCTCTTCCTCAGCAGCCAGGCCCACCCGAAGCTTTGACAGGCTGAGTGAAGCTGCCCTGTGGCTGTCACCCGGCCTGAGCAGCCTCTCCCACCCCCAGCTCCAGTCCAGGGAGCCCCCAAGGAAGTGGTCGACCCCTCCAGTGGCCGGGCAACACTGCTGGAGTCCATCCGCCAGGCCGGAGGCATTGGCAAGGCCAAGCTCCGCAGTGTCAAGGAGCGTAAGCTGGAGAAGAAGAAACAGAAGGAGCAGCAACAAGGTGAGAGGCCCCAAGGCCCTCTCAGAAGGGAGGCCTCCAAGCAAAGGGGCCGCCCTCTCTCCACCCCTCCACTACCTCCCAGAGCACTTGCTGCAGCCCGTTAGCTCCATCCTCAGCCCTCGCCCTGGGCCACGCCGCTTTGGAGCCTGCTTAGCAGAGCTTTCCTAAGCCGACTGATCGGACACTTCCTCAGGCTCTGTCAAGAGCTGTCCAAGGACGGGCCGGAGGCATTTTTACCAGAGGGGGGATCTGGAGGTTTCGCTCAGTCCTATTTCTGTAAGCCTCTGGAGGCAACAGCAGACACCTGCTGAGTTCCCAGCGCCAGCAGGGACATGGCACCTAGGCTGAGCAGCAGCGTCAGAGCCCCGAGTTTGGGGCCCAGCTGACTGGCCCAGAGCCCTCACACTCCTGCCTGCCTTATTACTGCACAGCGCTGATTACTCAGATGATGGACGTACTGCTGGACCCAGAGCTGGCAGGGACATCGCGGCTTTGGAAGGACTGCCGGGGTGGGGGTGGGGGGTAGTAGTGTAAAGGGGCCTGACCCCTGGAGACCTCCTAGCCCACCCTGCCCCACCCCCACCCCCCTTCCTGTTGTAGTGAGGGCCACAAGCCAAGGTGGGGACCTGATGTCGGATCTCTTCAACAAGCTGGCCATGAGGCGCAAAGGTAGGAGGCGAGCCCCCGCCCTGTGCGTGCCCTCCATGCACCTCCACTGCGGCTGGGTGGGCTGGTGTCCCAGGGTTGATGCCTCCCTCTCACTGGCCTTCTCCCGCCAGGTATCTCCGGGAAAGGACCCGGGGCAGGGGCCGGTGAGGGGCCAGGCGGAGCCTTCGCCAGGATGTCGGACTCCATCCCTCCTCTGCCTCCCCCACAGCAGCCTCCTGGAGAGGAGGAGGAGGATGACTGGGAATCCTAGGTGCACTCAGCCCTGCCTTGACAGAGCCAGCAGGGCGGCTGCTTCTCTCAGCACCTGCTGCCCTGGGGGCAGGAAGCCTGGCTTCACAGATGGCTGA